TGATCACCTCCGCATGGGGGTCGATATCCGTGCGAAGCCACCCATACGTAGATTACGGATGCATAGGGATTTGGGCAGAATGAACATAAGTAGGCTTCGGGAATGAACCGCACAAACGCAGTGGGTTCCAGAGCGAGACACCACAGAGGTCGAGGAATGCTGGGTGCTAATCAAACACAACCTTCTCAACCTCCAGGATCATTTTCTCCGTTAAGATATAGGAGGCACAAGGCCATGATGGTGGGCCGCTGTAGCCGGGGCCATTAGGTACCGAAACCGAAGCTGGCGGGCCTACCAACTAGCAGGCACCCATAGGTCGTGGGTGCAGTACACCGCCCACAAAAACGCAGTGGTTAACCTGGTGAGAAAGAAAAGGTTTTTTGAAATGAAGCTGGCCCAGAAAGTAAAACTGGAGCCGAAGAGTTACTACGGGATCTACCAGAGAAGAGATGGACCCACTGGTACCTGAGGGAGATAGGGTCATAACTGAAAACCAGAGTAAAGCGGATGCTATCTGCGCTTACTTTAGTAGCGTGCAAAGGCTAGACACTGGTGATTCAAGTGCTTCTCAGCCCTCGGGGACAGACATAGTGAAGAATTTATGGATAACAGTCGATCAAGTATCGGAGGTACTAAGCACTTTTAAGGTGTCCAAAACGTCAGCACCAGAAGGAATTAGCTCAGCGATTATCAAACCAATTACTGATATGATTGCGAGGCCGATTTGCAGCCCTCTCGGGACATCAATAGCTGAAGGGAGATTACCGTTTGACTGCAAAATGGCCTCTGTAGTAGCCATAGAAAGGGGAGGTAAGAAGTGAGATGTTAAGAACTATCGACCTGTTAGTTTAACTAGCGTACTATGCAAGATACTAGAAAAGATATTTAAAAGGCATCTAGTAAAGCATCTGGAGCGTAACATACCAATGACAGAGGCACAACATGGTTTTGGTAAACAACGATTAAGCCTAACAAACCTGTTGTGCTTTTTGGAGAATGTTACTGCAAAAATAGATGAGGGTAAAACCGTAAAGGTTTTCTATCTGGATTTCAGCAAGGCTTTTGATTCAATGAATCATCGCCTGCTATTGATCAAATTAGAACGATTCGGAACCCAAGGACAGTTGCACAGGTGGATAAGTGCCTTTCTCTTACAACGATCATTCTATGTGACGGTTGGTGAGAACGGGTTCACACCAGTTCAGCTGACTAGCGGAGTTCTACAAGGCTCAGTAGTAGGATCGCTTCTATTTATTCTCTACATAAACGGCTTGCCAAGCACTCTGACAGCATCGTGCCACATTTTTGCAAGTAACGTCAAAAAGATTGGTTCGAATGGGAGAAGTGTTTTGGAGGCTAGGAGGAAATTAGTTAGACTACGGTCAGTTCTAGCATGCAAACGACTGAAAGTCTTCCTTCCCGTTTACAAGGCCATAGTCAAACCAAACCTAGAGTATTGTATACCGGCTTGGGCACCCTTATTCAAGAAGGATGCTGCCTGTTTAGAGAAAGTGCAGAGATTGGTCACAAGAATGGTTGAAGGCCAGAGGGGAAAAAAATATGAGGAAAGACTTGAGGCATTAGGACTCTTCTCTTTAGAAAGAAGGAGACTGCGAGGAGACCTGATAGAAACCTTCAAAATCATGAAGGGAATATCGGGGATAGAAGCGGACAGTTTCTTTATATTAGCTCCCCAACACGGTACTAGGGGTCATGAGCTGAAGCTCATGAAGCAGAGGTGTCGACTAAACATGAGGAAGCACTGTTTTAGCAATAGGATAGTCGACAGTTGGAACCAGCTTCCCAAGGAAATAGTCGACTCTCAAACAGTGCAAACCTTTAAGACTGCACTCGATAAGCGATGGGTGGAACTATTCCATCACTGGCAGTGTAGACGAGTGTAGGTGTGCCAATGTTTAGGATACCTTTTTCCTTTTTTACTGGTACACATCATGGAATGCTCACGTCTAACAATTCACTCGACAATTTGGTGAGATGAGATCCTATTTCTCATTTTTATTTCAGCAGTGCTGGGTGCCCACGTGATTAGCAATCCATCGAAGGTATTCTGGACGCTCGATTGGCTGTGGCCATATTCAGTCCTGTGCAAAGTGACCTGACTCTCCATAAAGAGAGTAATATCTGGCAGGTGGAAGGGAAAAAGAAACGGTGCAGTATCAGTTACGTGCTTTTCATTAGTGAACTAAAAGAACCCTGATCCGTATGGCGGATGTGGGAATTAGAGATACCATTCCTTGTCTAGCGCTGGTTTGAAATCCTTCATTGTGGACGTTCAAATATTTTAGGTGGTAATTGGTTCCATGCAGGAAGTCATCTGTTTGCAAAGAAGTGGTATTTAATTGATAGCCTGCTCCTGGTTCTCTCAAGTGTGTAACGATGCCCTCAAAGGGCCTGCAAAGTAATCAAGTGCCTAATGGGTGATTGCTCCATGTTCCTGGTAACTTTTTTAACTTCAATTCGGTCCCTCCTCATCCATCGGCGCTCTAGAAAGAACAGGTTCAGGAAATTCAGTCTTTCCGAGTAATGAGTTCTTTTTGACCCCAGACCATCCGGCTTGCTAGTCACCGAACTTCTTCTAGAACTTTGATAACCTTCCGAAAGTACGGTACAAAGATTTGAACACAGTGCTCGAGCTGAGGCCTTACGACGGTTGTGTACAAGAGCATGAATACACTCGGAAAGCGGCTTGTGATTTTCGTTCGGAGTACAAACAGAGCTCGCCTGACCTTCGAGACTGCTGCTTCAGAAGTAGAAGACGAGGAAAAGGTCCTGAAGGCTCCTATCTCGAGGTCCATTGCCTCTAATTTGCAAGCTAGGGTTGCGTATGCCCCGTCCGTAGTGAGGATCTTTCGGGGGACAGGATGCGTTATTTTTGCTAGCAGGTGATTCTTTAATGCGTTGGGTGGAAGGTCCCATTTTTGAGACCACTCAAATATCTTCAAGATATCACTCTGTAAAGAGTATCTGTTCTCCGGGTTTCAAACTAACTTGATGTCCCCGCATACAAAGTAACGGTTCTCCAGCCCTGATGTTATGTCGTTGACATACACTAGAAAGAGAAGGGGAGCTAGGAATCATCCTTGTGGGACCTCACTCGTGGGGGCACTTGCCTCCAACAGACATCCCGGCAACCGCACTCTGTAGGTCCGCCCGGAGAAGAATGCTCTAACCCACTTACAGATAATCGGAGTAAGCCGTTTCCCGGAGCTTGAAATGTAACAACCTGTGGATAACTGAGTTCAATGCTTTATGGAAGTCCAGGTAGCACACTTCGACTTCCGTTCTCTCATCTAATTCCTGTGTTACTACGTCCAGATAACATAACAGATTTGTTAGACAAAATCTGCATTTGATGAACCCGTGCTAGGCGTTGCAAAAGAAACCGATTTGAAGAAGATGCGCACATATTTAGTGTCGCAGAATGTGCTTCAGGAGCTCAGCAACAATGCTGGTGAGACTGATCGGCTGATAGTTCGACGAATACGATTTATTACCCCTTTCAAAGATTCGGGCAATTGTAGCATGTTTCTGGAACCCGGCCTGTACTCAGAGAATCGTTGAACATTGTGCCTAGCTGAGGATCACTAAGGATTCTATCGGTTTTAAGACGAGTGAATGAATATTATCTGGCCCCGCGGATTTGGAGGTTTTAAGAGTCCTAGGAAATTTTTCCACATCCGATGTAGAGATCACCAAATCTAGCATGTTGATCACTCGGTGAAGAGTAGGATAGTTGCTCAAGCCATTCAGGTGAAGGACTCTTGGAGTTAAGCGAGGAATGAGTCAGCAATTTCATTATCGGTGGTCAGAAGTTGTCCAATAATGTGAAGGGCATTGCCGATCACTTTTCTTGATAAGCACCGAGGTTCAATAACCAAAGTATCTTCTGGCTTTTTTGAGACCTCGTTGGCTATGGCTAATTCGCACTTGAGTCTAACCGCCCGTGCTACTTCGATGGCTTTATTGCGGAGTCGTTTAAAGCGAGTAAAGAGGAGGGCTTTCGCTGCCTATTGAACGACATCCATGCCTGATATTTCCTCTTAAGCGCTTGGTGGACTCTCGGTCGGAATCGAAGTTTGTGTCCCCTTAACCCCGTTGATGTTATAGGTGCGTAGACCTCCATGAGCAGCACAGTGTGTTGTCCCTTATTCGGTTCCAGGTGTTCTATATGGAGTTCAGATTGTCCCAGCACAGTTCCTCCGCTCCGTTGACCAAGTCATCAATGTTGATATTGTGCAATCTTCGGATTTCAGTTTTGGGCTTCGGGGTTTCCGCTCGATGAAATTTCAAGAACATCGGCGAGGGGTTGCTTTTGCCTAAAGGAACTCCGGTCCTTATCCCCACGACGTCATTGCGGATCACGGTAGGTACCATCACATGCTGCATTAGGGTTAGAGCGGATGTGGTGTTGAGCAAAGCCATATCAAACACACTTCCGCGACATGATCGTTGTGCCCGATTGACAGTGGACGCGCTGAAATAACGTAAAATCACGAGACGATATTCGGTTCTGGCAGCTCCACGCAAGGCCTGAAGAATTTCCTAATATTCTTGGTGTGACGAGCTTCAGCTGCGATAGATCCCGACAACCATGACGGGGGGATTCACGTGCAGGATGCAGGCTGCTGATTGGATGTTTGTTGAGCTGGCTGACGGGTGATTTGCCGCACTAGTAGCAATCAACCCCCACCAAGTGAATTATTACGGTGGGAGCTGAGAGTTGCGGCTCCAGTCACCGATTTCGACTTCCTCGCGCAACCAAGTTCCCGTCAGGATGCAGAAATCAACGGTGCCGAGAGTACTAGTCACCTATTCTCTCTCCTGTTTAGGGTGTTGCAAACGTTTATCAGCGGGTGGTTGCGCTGTTTGGTGGTCGGTATGCTGCTGGAATAATCCTCGTAAGAGGTTCTCCGGTTTTTGGAATGTGGTACAGAGACCGAGTTCTTTGATTATGTTGTGGGATGTTCTCGAAGGTTACCACCAAGTTGTCCAGGGGCTAGTGAGGATCCGAGATGACCGCTTTGCGGGTGCGGCTGTTTGCCCCAATTTGATTTGATTTTGATTTTGGTCATTGCGTTTGCAATGACTGACGCCTTGGATAGGAAAAAGTCTCGCTCTTTTTCCCTGTAGAGTTCCACGAGCAGTGATTGACTGACACCGAGGTCACCCTGTCGTGGTGGGACCCATTTTCCCAGCCTGTGTGCTCGTTTCCAAGTCATTTTGGGGTGACAGCCGGCGCAGCACACTCAGAATGCGTGTTTTCTCTGCGCCGATCCGTTGAGCGGTGTTGGAAATGACTGGCTCTGGAGCGTGGATTATCATGTTGGGCGCCGTGCCTAGGGTTGCCTCGTAGGGAGCATGGAGCCTCTGGAACTCTGTGAGCTGCTTTTGCATGTTCTCAATTGTGATTTCTTGTTTCTCGAGTCGAGAGATAGCTACCTTGAAACCATCGGATAGGGCATCAGACTGAATTCCTATGGGTTGCTGATATACTTTGCGGCTGTCCGCTTTGGGCTTGGAGTTTCCTCTGTTTTCCCGCACTTCATTAGGATTTGTCTTGTTTCGATTAAATTGTCTAGTACGTTGAACCGACTGACGAACTGAACCATTCTTGGTTGGTTTTGTGGAGCTGTTGTTTTTTTTCACAATAGTTTGGTTCTGAGGGACAGCTGTTGATTGACCATGTGTAGTTTCTTCTATTCTCTGCTCGGTTCGGGGTATGGCTGGTTCAGGTTGATTGCCGCTGCGAGTCATTTTCGGACTGACTCTTTGCGTCATAGGTGTCGAGTGCTCCAAAGGGGCCCTCAGAAAAGACGTTTTGCTTTTATGTCTAGGTGTTGTTTTCCGTGTAGTGTTGATTGATTGACACGGCGGCGATTTGAGTGACGTTTTGCTTACGCTCAGCGTCTCCCCTGCATATCAACACCATTATTCAAGGAGTTCTGGCTGCCTTTTATTGCAGATTTTGCAATCTCTGGGCATCTTTGGAAGATTTGCAGAAGATCCCCGTAAGTGCTGTATAGTTTGTATAGCTCGCTAGAGAGCTTTTAGAAAGTTTTATGTGCCCAATGCTCGCACATGCTGAATTCTATACCTGTAACCACCCGTCTACCACACAAGACAATAAGGCATGAATGAGACACATGTGGCATGTTAGTAATGGCTACGATAATAAAAAGCAATGAAATGTGATACCACAAGCTCTGAAAAAGTCATTACGCACTTGATAAGGCGTACAAAATTGGACGCTCAAGACGTACAAAAACGTTTAACCTACTACGAGTTAAACATAGAAAAACTATAGAATAAAGTTAGGCCGAGGAGAAGGGCTTTGTTTCTTCAGTTAAACGTTAAATTTCAAGTGATATTTCGCAAGAACCAGGTAAAAGTTATCAAACAAGGTTCAGGTCAGGTTGGGTCACAGGATTTGCGGCTGAAGCCGAGTTGGGTTCAGGTTCTTGCACCGTCAGCGTATCGTTTGCCTATGTGTGCTTCGAAAATTAAAAATTCTTTGCAAGCCGATTCTGAGCTCCTCGGTGCCAACGTGGGCAACTTTTCGGTTCAGATGCTACTTCTGCAGCTGATACAGT